AGACATTCACACAACGGCGCCATTGAACAGGGACTTTCCCTCAGACACCTTAATCACCTCACTCAAGGACACAACGATGATGGCTCAAGGCTAGTTTGTGGGCCATTTAATTTCAGTTTTATTCTAAAGTACTTTGTGTTAATGAGAGTGAAAGCTTAAAGGGATAGTTCACCCAAAGATGTAAATTCTGTCATCATTTTCTCACCCTCATGTTGTTCCAAACCTGTATGAGTTTCATTTCATTTTCATCATATTTTAAAGAATGTTTGTAACCTAACAGTTGCTGGTAGCCATTGACTAAGTATTTTTCCATACTATGGAAGTAAAATGGCATTTCTGGGTGAAGTATCTTTTTAATAATATAACAAATAGTTTTGGATCAAAAATCAGATTAAGCCACTTGAAAAGCTGTTGTAAAAGGGCAATATACACACAGACTTGCGACTGAACATCTTGAAATCTATATTAATGAACCATACCACAAGCGCATTTTTTTTGGCAACTGTAAATAGCCTACTGTGAGGCTAATGAATATTTAAAGATAAAAATAAATAAATAAAATAAAAATTATATATATATATATTTAGGCGTTATACCAAAAACAGCCACCGGGTGACACCCAAACGCAATTGAACTTTTTTTCATAAATTTTCATGTCACGTAAATTTCTCTTGCAATATTGCTTCTATCACAAAATAAAAACCAAATATAGAATCTTGAGACTCAGACCTTTCTGACGATATGTATTTTGTCAAGATTATAAAAAATTTTTGATGCTAAAATATAGAAATGCATTTTACACTAAAGTTCAATAATGAATTCAATTAATAAATAAATAAAAGAAAATGTAATTACTAAATAATTATACTAAATATTGATATGCAGTGTGATCTGTAGGATTTAAATTGTAGTAATGAATTAAACAAAAATAAAAGAGGACTTACACATTCAAGCATACACTGAAACTGAAATCAAACACTTGTTCACCAATTCACCGTTAAATACATACTGAATGTCACACGAGTATAGACACGACTGCACTTTGTGTGATGTTAAAATCACAAGCTATTTGACTACTTGAAATACAATCTGACTGAAAATTGGACAAGGCTGGATATATGGATGTGATTTGGATCAGGATCCTTTTTCATGGGTGTTTTTTCTGTTAGACTACAAACAACTAAACAGATCTGAGAGGGGTTTTTTTTTTTTTTTGGATATACTAAAAATAAAAACTTCAAAAAAACAAAAATGATCAAGAATAAACAGTCCATGAGAAAGTAAGTCAGAGAGAGAGCAATATGTGAAGCAAAGAGAGAAAAACATCTGTTCCTGAATAAATTTAATCGACCCTGTTATTGTACATCATGTTCCAGTTCAATTGTACAAGTGTGAGTAAGAATCGTCAGATGAAACTGAATGAATTGGAGGGAAGGAAGGAAGAATGGAAGGATAGAGGAGAAAAGGAAGGAAAAGGCATGACACTGGGCCAAAAAAAAGCTGCATTCCGAATAAAAACAGAACGAATGAACGCCTCGCTCGCTGTTGTTTCTGCCTAAATAAAACACGCACGTGTAACGCGATCTGAATCCTGTAACTTTTTCCATTTCGTTGTTCTCCTGCCATCTCACATCCTCTACGGTCTGTATTTCTGGGAATCTGCTGTTGTGTTTTCAGGCCGCAGTTATTAATAACACATGTGCTCGGAGTCTTTACAGGAAGCGGGAGACGTACTACTCCTATTAGCCAAAACCAACTCGAATCAGTCAAAAGGGAAGAAGATTGAGCTATTATTATGGTCGTGATGAATTAAAGGAATGTTTCGGGTTCAGGCTCTGTGGTCAGCTATGTGACATGCTTTCAAAAACCAAAGATAATAATTTGGTTTGTAAAAAACAAATACAAATGGTGTTTTCTAGAGAATGTTTTTTTAATGAACCAGGAAAGAGCTTCAGGGGGGTTTAAAAGCAAAATGTGCAGCTAATGATGTGTAAAAAAAAAAAAAATTCTGTGCTCTCATGTCATATCTTATTTTCATCACAACCAAACTTTCTTGAGCAAACCTCAATTATGCTTTAAAATGCTTCGTCATGAAAATTTTTTTTTACATAATATTATGAAAAGGCATGGAGTAACTGTTCACAATTAAACCAGTAACATGCATTAAGAAAATAAATTGGTTCAATTTTGATTTTATACTGGCAAAGTAAAATTTTTCTCATTTTAAAAGACAAACCCAAAATAGAGAAATTCAGGCAAATTTAACATCCAAAGGTGTGAAATGTGATTTTTTATTTTTTTTATTTTTATAAAAGCCAAATTTAGGTAGAATTGGATTTGTTTTATTCTATATAACCCACTGAAATGTAATGCTGATAAGTGTGACATTAAATTTACAGATATTTTACTGAATTAAAAAAATTATAATAATAAAATTAATGCTCTATTTTAAAAGTTTTTAAAAGCATCACACATTAAAAAAGGGAAATATATCAAATATAATTAAAGACAGCATGAAATTAATATTTACTCTATTTTCTAAATGCATGTATCCCCTAAATTTATGATTTCTTAAAAAAAGTGTATTTTTTAGTATATGAAGTGTATCTTTAATATATATTCTATAAATCATCCTAGTGGACAGAAAGTTCCACTAACTGAATGAATGAATATTTTCATTTTTTTTCTTCTTTTTTTTTTTCTTTTAATTTTTACTTTCTTTCTTTTTTTTTTTCTTTTTCTTTTCACCACTTGTTTAGTTCTCGGTCGAAAATAAAAGCCCTACAAAAACATTTGAAAAAGACTGAATCCAAGATATGGTGATAATATCACATAATGAGAGATTTATAACCAACAGACCAAGAATTTTCAGCACAGCACAAGGATTAAAGATTGACGCTTTGGCTGGTTTTAAACCATCTTCTGAAACTAAGTCCTATCTCTCTCTCTGCAGGTTTTGTGCTGGTGATCGGTCTGGTGACGTTCTACAGGATCGGCCCCTACACTCACCTGTCCTACGCCTGCTATGTTAACATCGCTGCTTGCTTGTTTGCCACGCTAGCGGCCGCCATGCTAATCTGGAATATTCTGCATCGCCGTGATGACTGCATATCTCCGTCAGTCATCGTCATCAGCCGATCTCTGACCACACCCTTCAGGCCGCGCCTAGACAATGACTATGTAGAGTCGCCATGCTGACACAAAGACACACCTCACCTGAGACAAAACACAGGGTGGATATTTAGACGGATGGACGGACACAAATGCACATGGAGAGGAGTTCTATCATTTTAAGTGAAACTGATCTCCTGGACTCCGCAAAAAGTGGATTCGGACTGAATGGAAGACTTTTGAAATGCATTTAAACACAGAAGCAGCATTGTGGATTGGGAAGAATACAACAGACAGATAAAGATCAAGCTGGATCTTGACACGTTTATGTTCATAAGTGCACTTGTGAGAAAGTAGAAGCACATTCGTATGCACACATATCTGTTATGGTTCTATGAAACATGGAGTTTCAGATTTCAAAAGGAGTCCAGGTATTGAATATTGCTCCCAGGTCAACTGAATACAGTCCTTTACAGGCCGGCATGGAATCTGCACTTTTATACATGTTCTCTGCTAATTGAAGGGAAAAAAATTCTGGACAGATTTAAATTGGGAAATCTGACATGTCCAGTCATTTTTGTGTGTGTGTTTTACATAAAGAAACCAAATTTATTGTTAGAAACATTGCAATATTTTGCATTATGACATATTTATTACAAATAAGCACATTTGCCCCCAGATTCTCAATATAATGTGTCTTAAATGCTTTACTTTTGCTTTA